TTTTTTATAGGTAGTCCAATCAGACCACTATGAAGGCAAACCAGTTTACGAAAGAGCCCTTTAATAGAAAATCTAGTAAAAATGAAAAAGTAGTAGCAAATATATGTCTAAAAATTTGTTTAATTTTTGAATGTGATTAGTTTGTCTTATTCACTTGTCTACCACTACAGATTCAATTCTTAAATATATATGACTAATTCCTCTCAGTCACTTTTAAAATAGAATTTGGTTTCATGCGCTCAAACTGTTCACTTTTTAAATAGTCTGCGCAAACTACTTATAAGAAACCGTGTGGAGGCTTTCTGGTGTAGAAGGTGATGGCCAAACACAAACAGTGAATTCTTTTTCAGTCACTTACTTCGTTTTATCATCAGCTCTTATATATCTCGTTATTCTAGCTAATTTACATTTAAAAACTTTTTCCCAGCAAAAGATCTCAAAAAGAACAAACTATTCAATAAAAAGAGAGAAATATCAACAAGTTTATGAAATAAAATGCACATGTTCAAAATATGCACATGAAGATTGCGAAATAAATACTTTTGTCATTCGATAGCCAAATAGCAGCCTTGTTCACACCCTTCTCCCCAAAATAGCGAAATAGTATCATCCGATACCACGTGATGAAGGCGGAGCCAAGTGCCAACTTCTGGTGAACGAACTATATCGACAATGCCAACCGTCATCTATGAATCGAGTTAACATATCTTATATACCAGTGAATTTTAATTGTATTTTCGTAATGGTAGACACACTACAGTAGTCAGGAAATTTTTCTTCAAATGTGTTTTTGTACATGATTAAAAAGCATTATTGATGATGGAGTTTTCGAGTGGCGGGTTATTTTTTGCTCCCATACATATTTCCTTTAAATTAAATATTTATTAATAGCTTAAATTATCTATATATATCTCACTTTTGCTACCGCTTTAAAAAAATTCTAGACCGTGGTAACTCAGTTCAAACGTACATGTACTTCATTCTCTGCTGATTTTTAATATAGCATTAAAATAAAAATACGAAAACCCATTTTTTAAAAAAAGAATTCAACCTTCGGCACCATTTGATTCCATACTTATCCGCAAGTCTCGAGTACGGTAGCCCGTGGTATCTGTATCTTCAGCTTTTCTCCATTACGATCTGTCATTTTTTATAGTTAAATATTTTTATTTTATAACCGTCGTTGAACAGCCGACCCAATTTTTGGATCTACGACTACTAATGTTCAACTACGTAGCCTTGTCATTTTGAACTCAACCCAGAAGACAAGGGAACTCCTGGAACTTTGCCTTCGTGGAGGACTTTTTGATCGAAATAACCCGCATATGCGTTGGAGGACCACGAGAACCTCCCGCGGTTAGTCTGACGGCAAGGGGACTCTAACACATGATCTGTCTACCAATGAGGATACTTCACGTCAGCAGTGTGGTCGATGCGAGCCGGATGCGGANCAATATGGCCGACCGGTTACAGTGATGGCTTCACTGT